ATTATTGTATAATTTAATTAAATTAAGTTTCAAATTCACCATTTTGCATGCTTTCCTTTCATATGTATATGTGGAAAAAAGTTAATTATTCTAAATAAAAGAATGTACATAATATATTTTGTCTCCGAGTAAACAAATGTCATATGGTTTGATTATATAATAAAAGGTAACTAACAACATTTGTTTTTCTAAGATGGCTGTATGGTTAACAATCCAATTTGGTTGGATATGCAAGAATTAATTTTTAGTTCTGAAATATATATTATAATTTCACTAGTCATTGTCAATTTAATTTTTTTATTAAAATTTTGAGAAACTTGCATAAAATATAGGAAGAAATCAAATGACCCCATGCAAGGCACATGCACTCTCATGGCATCCCCACATGGCCATATGACTAGGAAACTCACAATATGTCTCCTAAACAGATACAAATAATAATTCATTTTCTGCAATAGACATTATAGTTCCACTACACTATTACCACTCTCTAAGACCATATCTAACAACACACACACACACACACACACACCACACACACACATATATATATATATAATAACTAATATATACTTAATTATTCATGGTTGTTATAGGGATTGGTCGATAAATATGTTTTAGTTCTAATTAGCAAAAAGTTTTTGCTTTAAGATATTTTACATTGATTCTTTTATGTTGTTGTTTAATTAATGGTTTTTACACTGTAAAGTGAAAAAAAGAGAAAATTTTGATTTTAAGTGTTAAAATATTTTACAATATAATTTTAAAATATTTTAAAATGCAACAATTCAAACTTAATGTTAAATTCCTTTTAAAAGGAATGATGAAGTCTAAAGTTTCTTTTGGTGCTAAAGAAGTGATTAAAGCCACTTATGTAGTACAAGTTCTAAGTATCGTTATCCCTATAGGATATTCTTATATCAATCTAAACCAATTACTTGAAAGAGAATATATCAAATTTGTGTTTGTTTATATCTTTTTCAATTTTGATTTATACCCACTTTAACCAATGCCATTATTAAGTAAATTGTGTTAAGTGATGAATTTAAGAAAAACCCAAGCTAATTTGTTTATTTTGTTTTTAAATTATATCTTAATCATCACCAACTCTTAAGTTAGGATCAACACTAAAATAAATTCTATGCAACATCAACAGCATAATTATTTATATCCCATTATTTATTAAGGTTTCGAATTTGGAATCATTACCCATAAATTAATGTGTTTTTATAGTGTCCATGCTCAAATTATTACTATTAATTTTTTCCTTTCAAATATCCATTATGTTATTTAGAAAATAATTAGGGATTTCCTAAAGGTGATTTGGACAATAACTTTTTTTTAATGCTTCAATAACATAAAAAAGTAGTAATAATTTCTTTTAAATTTTCCTTTGTTTTGTTTAATTGTTTCTTTGATTTGTAATTAATTCAACAAAGCAAAATAAAAAGTATATTACATTTTTAATTAGTACATTATTAATATACAAAAGAATGACACAGTGGGATTCACATATTCTCCTCATCTATTTGTTGTCAAAGATTGTGTGTTGTGTGTCTACAAGGATTTTGCCCCTCCTCCATGTCTCACTACAATAATTTTTTGTAGGTATTTCTCTTTCAATAAATCTATGTTATATGCATTTACATATATATTTTTAAGACATTAAATTAAAAAAAAAAAGTGAGAAAAAAACCAAACAAGTTCTGTTGAACGACAAGTATATATGTTACAACAGAAAGTTGGATGGTGGGCTCCAAGTTGCAAATTGCACATGGATATGATGCACCATCTACCTTATCCCAAAAATTTGCTGAAAATAAATTTGGAAATGAAGCTTTTATAATTTATCCCTTGAATTCCATGTAACTTGTGGAAATATGTGCCCTATATTAGACACCACACCTTTTGCAAATCTACTTCCTCCTTTTTGTCCACATTATATGAAAGTAGAAAGTAAAAGAAAAGAAATAAGTGAAATGAAAAAAGAATATTAAATGGAATAGTAGTAATATAGTAATATTAAGGCTCCTTCGATTTATAGTAGATGATGATGAATGATATTGTCGCATCTTTTTTAGAACATATAAAGATACCATTCCATAAGAAATAAAATTATTGCAACGACAATTTTAAGATTGCATAAGGATCTCTATGTTTGGAAATGGACATTTCCTCATATGATGTGTTTTTCTGTTCTGAGGTTCAAACAATAACAGGACGAGCTGCTATCAATAATAACATTCAAGTTCCTCCAAAAGGAAAAAAAAAAAATTGAACGTTTGCTTGTTTATTATTTCTTCCTTCTCAAATTATTAGTTTTCCTTTGAATTTTTACGGAATTTAAGAAGAAAATTAAATTTTGATGTAGAAATTTAGAATTGGTTCAACTCAAGCAAAGCGGTTCCCAGAAGTACCAGCAAACTCAAGATGTTTTAAAACTTTTTCTTTCAAGTCACAGAATTTTGATTTTGTCTTTAGCTTCATTGTTTTATGGAGAAGCGTCATATGTCTACGTTACATTACAGATCATTTTGGAGAAGAAAAAGTACATTGTAAGTGACCAACTAGATCTTTGGTTCAACAATTATCCTCTAATTTTAGCTAATGAACATTGTGATAATTATGTTTGATCAAATGTTGTTTATTAAAATTGAGATTGGAAATATTAGGAATAATTGTTTAATTAGCATATACTTCCACTAACAATTCAATAAAGCCAGATGAACCTACAAAAGACAGATGGAATTAATTGGATCATTTTGATGTGTTGGTGAGAGAGAAAGAAAGATGGGTCCATTTTTAATGTAATGATGATGGTTCATGAACGTGCAAAACTACGGGCTAACAACTTGCTATTGCTGTTTTCTCTAATAGTTAAATCAAAACGAGTTTCTGGTTTCCCTCATCACTTGCTGATCTTAACATATTACTTAATTTTCTGTCAAAGAGGAAAAGAAAATTCCACTGCTACTTTCAACAATAATGGCAGACCGGCAGTGCAAAGTGACAACAATGTCTAATAAAGTAAACTGAGCTGGGATGGTTAACCTTAATGATAGCAGGAAACTGTAAGACTCGTTTAACTCGAATTAAATGAAAATGTTTAGTTATTAGCTTGATTGCAATCAAATCAAACTGCATGAGCCATGTTTTTTGCCTTCTCAAAACTACTTTTATACTAAATAGAAACGCACAAGAACACAAAATTAAGGCAGTGACAAATAAAAAGTTCATTCTTTTTAGCTGGTGAAAGAAACTGCAATACAAAGTTAAGCAAAGAAAGGGTTGATTCTATGGCATCCAGTGCTGTCCACCCATGCACTAAGAACCATTTTTCTTGCTCTTCAATAATACGCCTTTAGCCTGCTGTATAGTTACGCTGTAGCTGCTGTGAAAACATCAATAACAATCGGAACGTGATAGGTCGAATTAATGACAGACAACCAGTCCTTGCAACTAAAGTACTCCTATACTCCTATTAATCTGTCCAGATCTCCCAATCTGGTGTTAGAAAAGCTAAGAATCTGGTAAAATATTGCTTAACAATGCACAATTTGAGTGAGCGACCTGATTGATACGTGAAGGAAAATTTGACTAGTTTCCATTGAACAAGCTAGGCTTGGTCAGTCATGTGTCTTAGTTGATCAGGTGAAATACTACATTGCATGATGAGACTTGAGAGTTTCAAAATTTCATTGTTTGTTTTCTGTTTGATTTTCCAAGTGACCAAATGGATGGTGAGAAATTTCAATTAATTAAGTTGAGCTTGTCCAGCATCTAACTAATATTACTCCATTTTTGGAAATAATTGCTGCTATGGAAACAGAAAATGTGATTGAATTGTTCAATCAAAAATTGATTTCGTAACAGCTTTCATTCGACAGCCTCAAAACAGGCAAACTCTAAGACGCAAGAGCTACCTTGTTTAGTTTGTTTATTAAGAAAACTAAGATATCGTTATAACTGTAAGAAATTAGCACAAAGGCCCTGAATGTGCACGATCGACCGTTACAAAACACAGCTAGCCCGACCTGAATTTGAGTTAACTGGGTGTTCTTATATTAGGCCATTAGGGCCAAGTTGGGCCATTGCAGCTAAGCCCATAAACGCCAAAAGGGCTGATGAATTTCAGTTGTTCTCTTTTAATAGGGTTTTGGATTCTAATCAAAAATTCTTTCAGCATAAAATTTTTAATATTTTTTTAATCATAATAACAATAATTTTTTAATTATAATTATAATAATTATTATTATTATTTTTAATCTTATCGAAGTCAATGGCATTTGTAATCCAAATATGCCCTTATTTTCTACTACCAGCGAGCTCTAGAGCCTTTGATTACTATTAAAAGACTAAATGTACCTGACACATCCCAATTTTCAAACCAATTTGTTGAGTTTCTTTTTTTTTTTTTCAGGTCCTATTATGAACATGGAAGAACTTAAATTGAAACTGATCATAATATACAAATTGTTCTATATAGTTGTGATACAGTTAACTCTAGTATTTGTATATTTACTTCTGTAAAGTGTGTAGTTTCCAAAATTTATCAGCCAAATCACGTTTTTTGCTACCAAAAAGGAAACTACTAGTATTAATTTGCAAGTGAAGTTGAAATCTGAGATGACTTGAACTGGTCTAAAGATTATCAACTCAATAACGGTTCCCTGTTAATACATTTTCCTTGAAATTCCATCTGATGGTCTCCTGCTGAAGTTATTTGTTGAACCTTCGGAACATTAGATTTATAAGAAAAATCATCACTTAAAAAGTAACCACATAAATCATCAACAGCACATTAGATTTACTAGATATATCACCACTTAATACAACAAAGGCTTCAAACAGAAAGGATTAATTTAAATTTCCTTACATTATTCTCTGTTACAATCCATGGAACTAGAAACTATTAGCTCTTGACATCCTGTTCATTAGTATCATTACACAAAATTTTCTGTTCCCAAAAGAAAAAGCCGAAGAAAAATGCAATCAAACAACAAAAAAGCTCATAAGAAAAGCAACATATGAATTAATTAACCTTCAAGTGAGGATCAACCTCAACTCTAGCAACCCCTTCTCGGTCCTCAGCAGTCTTAACCACTTCTACTTCACCAACCACAAGCCCAGCCACGTCGCTCTTTTCACCCCTCAAAATCCTCTCTTCTTCCTCCTCATCCACATAGTTAGGATCCTTCTCATCAATAGCCGCAGGCACCGGCGTCAGCACGTTCTCCGCCACGTCATCAGGTCCTTCGCACGTGTACTTCCCGCCATGACCTGATTTTGGAGGTAGCCTACCAATCCCAATCCCATTAGTCGGGTGTCGATCCATCCTTTGCAACCCTTTGTCCTCCAACATCCTCTCTACGTACATAATGGTGGCAATGTTCCGAGAGGGCACTTCCGTCTTCTTAACTTTCTTTCCACCTTCTTCGTCGCGGCTAACTGCTCGGATCACCACGGGGGCTTTCTTTTCTTCCTTTTTATCGGCTACTGGTTTCATTTTTATCACTTCGCTTTTTTTCCCTCTTCGAAATGCTAATGTGTTTGCTTGTTCTCTGTTCCTGTATGTTGAAGAGTTTGGATAAGAGTTTATATAAAGTTGGTGTATATTGTTCGAGTTCTGATAGTAGAAAGTGCTGGAAAGAAAAATGGAGAGTTAGTGCTGGAAGGTTCTGCATGCCACGTTGTTAGTCTGGGTTTTTGCCACGTGTAATCTAATGTTCTGGTGTGTCTGAGAATGAACTTTGCTTTTCTAAATTTCCTTAGAAGAAGTATTTTAATAAATCCAAAAGATTTGTGATCAGCCCATATTTTCTTTTACGGTTTTGCCCAAAGAAAGGAGGAAAAACACCATTGCTTTGGGCTAGTCCTGGCGCAAACATAAAGATGAGTATGAGAATATGAGCAGCCCTCCATTCGTTTTTAACAAAGGGTTTGGTATAAAGGCAATTCTCTCGAGTTGTACTTCAATTTTTATTGAACTTCAACAAATTACGAAAGGCTTCCTCACCTGCATACTTTTACAAAATAAAAAAGCAAAGGTGAACAATAAAAATGTTTCCAACAAAAGATAATTGATAATGAATCTGTCTGAATTAAGTAAAGTTGATAGTCAGCTCTTCTGTAAATAAACATGCTCTCATAACCTAGCTCTGTGGCCTCCAGCAAAAGGAAAAAGAAAAGTTCAATCTGCCGATCAGACATATTTGTAGAAAATTTTGCTTCTCACCAGATCTAATTGTTACAAATGATAATGTGAATAAAATTAGTTTCAATGAGTTTATCACGTCAGGCTCCAAGACTCCAAAAAGTAAACCTGAAATGAAAAATTTTAAGGGGTTATAAATATAACATTTGAAATTGGAACATAAAATGTGTATCGTAGAGGACAAATTAATTTATACCTTAAGACACCCTATTCACTTGGCACAGACACGTTAATATCAGGGGATGGCCGATGGATTGATGCAGGTTGTGAGCCATTCCAACCAACTACAAGAGAGGGTGTAGCATTTGGTATATGCTTATCAATTGTGTTATTATCTGCTTCCCCAAGGCTTTCCCCTGGAAAGGGGGATGTTAGTGTCAAACGGTTCTCACCATCAGGCTTTGCTTGTGAGATTGGCGTTGCTGCTGTTACTGTGGTTGAAGGATCAGCAGCGCCTCTGGCTGTGGAAGCCACCGTGTGCTCACGATAATGCTTCCTTTTATGCACTTTGTAACCATTTGGCATGAAGCTTCCTACCACAATCTAGCAAAAGAAAATGGAACTATATCAGTCAGATCCATACATGCAGCTTTAATTTAGTGGTAATTAAAAATGGACGAAACATGAAACATCTCCATTTCAAGAGAAAAGCCTTCTTGATTTAGATGTGCTCGAGTATCATGGCATGATCAACGAATAAGAGAAATATAGGCTTGTGAATATATTAACAAAGAGCAAAGGACTTACTTGTATAGGACTAGCAGCCACCAATATACCAGCAAGTCCACCACCTATTACACGACCATCTGATCCAGCCAATGAAACACTCAACCCACCAGTTCTACATTTTACACCAGCAGTGTCACTCACTGTAAATGAACCAGTTAAGGACAATATCTCAAAGCGACCCTGCAAAGTAATTTCAGTTTTGAACTTTTAAGTGATGCGGAAAAATATAACTGTGAGAAGAAATAAATAACTTCTAATAATAAACTATCGGAGCATATAAACTATAGACATTGACAGTTACAGTAACCATCATATGATACTATACATAAACGAAAAACAATAATTACCAATTGAAATGTTGTGTGAGAAAACTATTAATACTAAAGTAATTAACTATCAGAGTTCAATGATCACAAGTTTCTCATAATGCAAGTCTATTTCATGATATATATGGTTCAGACAACTACAGGGACATGGAGCATGGCATCAATTTGGAAATTGCTGAAGCAACCAACAAAACATTAAGTTCTAGAATTCCTTTTGTTTGGGTTTATCAAAAAGACATTAACTTGAGCTGTTATAATAAAAGCAGCTTTAAATTAATGTCTGCCATGGTAAATCTACCGCCTTGTCCGGGGCATGCAATGCATCGCCTTGGAATCACCCTTTTTCTAAGGGTGCAACGACATTAATAGTCATAAATACCAACGTTGAAACAGCAAGGGACAACATCAATAGGAGGATAAGGTTAGAAATCATGCCTCGTAGGTTAAAATCCCACCAGACGAACCAGGTTGCCGAATAGTAACATTAGAAACAGCTCCATTGGCTGATAAAATACAAATACCACGAGGCCCTATCTGCGAAAATGAAAGAATTTTTCCTGCAACATCCTGCAATCAATAAAGCAATGTACACATTAATACAGGGTCTGTAATTTGTACAAATTACTTCCAATTAGGAATTCTCATGTTTTCCACTCTGGGACATTACCTCCCCAGTATTAACTGTGACAACATGTGGTGTGAAGTCCCCTCCAGCTGTGTTGGCAAACAACTCACCTGTCCAGACATATTGTACATAGTTTTTGTCATTAATGTCCAAAGCAATAAGAATTGATTGATTCATGAAAATAAAAGTTACTTTGTATGAACCCAAAATTCACCAACTTAGGATGTTTTTCCGGAGTCAAATTTCTTTAGATAACATACATTTTTTGTTTTTTGCACTACGATTAGATTCAAATTTGAGACTCGCCCAATATAAATGTTCAAGAAAGGAAAAAATAAGCAAAAGACCAAGTCCTATAAATTTGCTATGTTGCCTATATATTGTCCTTTTGTCAATGTTGAAATTAATATGAAAACCCCACCATTTATGAACTTAATCTTTCAATTCCCTAAGAAAGAATGAATCAACTACCCATAATGTGTTCGGTGAGAAATAGAGAAAAAATAATACTAAAAAAGGGTAAATCTTTAAGGCTATATTTCTTGCTCACATTAGGGATTAGGGTATTTTATTTTATTTTTATTTTCCTTGATATGTAAGTTGAGTATTATTTACCCCTGAAAAGGAAAAAGAGAGAATAACAGAAGACATGCAACCAATCACAAGACCTTATTTTTCTTTCTTCTTTTTAATTTCTGCACTTTCTGGGGAACCAAACAGAGTTTTGTATGGAACAAAACAAAGCCAAAAACTCTTAACTTTCTTTAACTTTACCTAGAGATGAAAGAAGCTGCCAGTTGCCAGAACCAGGAGGCCTGCCTCTACCTCTCTTGGAAGAGGAGAACACAGCAGGAGAAGGAGGAGATAAAGTGAAGCCAGAAGGTGAAGTTGTCACTACTGAATATGGTATCCTAAGGTTCCCATCTGCATCATATTTTCTCGGTCTCCCTCTTTTTTTCTTTCCTAAAGAATCAAACCCACCTCCACTTACAGCACTCCCTAGTGTTCCTCCAGCTGATCCTGGAACTGCTGTTGCTGCAGTTATTGTTGCTCCTGCTCCAGTTGCTGTTGCTGCAATATCAAGGCTTCTTTCCAAGCTCATGTTGATGTTCATATTCATATCCATGTTCAGGACCTGAGGCAACACCAGGCTACTCACTGGTGCAGGTGGCGAGTCAGTGTCAGAGTTGCCTGGTGACCCAGATATCGTGCTCTCCTTTTCTTCCATTTTTGAAAATGGCAAAGCAAAAAATGGGTTGCTTCTTAAGAAGACAGAAAGTTGGGTGTAAGTGTGCTTTGTTGGGGAAGCTTTTTTCTGTGTTAAGCGAGAGAGAAACTAAAAAGAAGGTGAAGTTTGAACCAAAGAGAGGTTTCCTTCAAATGGCGCCAGATATAGAAGGTGGTATAGCTATTTTTTTAACTTTGGAGAGAGAGAGAGAGAGGAACAGAGAGAAAAATACAGATTTTATAAACTTCCCTCCATTAATGGAGGGAAAAGGGGCTGAGGGAGGGAAACAAAGGTCTTTTTCTTGTCTGGACTCCACAGGCTGAAAACAGGGTCAATTAATTTACTAGAATACCGTTCATTCATTTTTACCCCCAAATTGCCCCTGTAATATTAGAAAATGACTATGTTTTCTAAACCAATTTGCTTGGCTTTGCACCCAAGAATGATATAATAGTAGAAAATCAAATGTGGCATTTAGGGTTTGCTTATACTGAAAAATAGAAAAAGAAAGTGGGCACGCTGTTCTTGTTTTTCTTATTTGATAATTTACGCAAACTATAATTCAAATACTTATAAGAGTACAATGAGAAAATTTTTCTTTTTTGAAGTAACAATCATAATAAGCTATTACAACATAATCAATATTATAATTATTAAATAATCAATTAATAAATTATAATATAATTAAATAATTAAATTTATATACAATAAAACTTGAATTTAAAATCTCAAAATTTTATCACCGAACCAAATCCAACGAAAAAACTTGCCTTGAATTAATAGTTATAATGTTTTTTATTTTAATAAACTAAGAAGGGAGCATTATCATTTTCATTTAAAATTTTGTCTAAATTCCCAGCTCGATATCATGAAAAAAATTTTCAATGTTCTTGATACAAAAAAGTTCAGGTAAGGGAGTTACAACATTTCAAGATCAAGACATTGTATATCTCAGCGAAAATTTATATTAGACTTATATATCACCTACCAAGAAGGATTGTTAGTAGCACGAAAATTGAATTTAAGTCTTATAAACAAAATATTTGATTTTTATTAACTTAATCAATTTCATTTACAAATTTTCAACTTTTGTGAATTTGACAATAACATCTTTATTTTCTACATATTGAATTATTATCCAACTCTAAATTTAAAATCACAATGTCATTTGCTTTGTAATTGTAATATCCTATTAACATTTCTATTTTTTATTTTAAAAAATCAAATCTTGCTTTTTAAATAAACAAAATCATAAACAACTTATTGAAGTAAATGTTTAAGTGTATTTTTTAATTTTTTTTTAAATGTTGGAGATGGCCAATCTTCTTTAGGTATTATTAAGTAGAAGAGAGAATTTAAAATTTAATCTAATCAATTCATATAATTATTTTTTAAAAATGCAATCGAATTAATGCTTTTCATTTCTAAGTTTTTGTAATTTGGGCACCTCAAATTGATGTTTTCAACCACAAGAAATGGTGAAAAATAGTGTCATTTAAGCTTCCACTGAAGTCTTTCTCATTTCCTTTTCTTTTGGCACTTGTTTTCCTTACAATTATTTACTTCTTTTCACAAATTTCTCTTCTTTGGTATCTAGTAGTATATAATTTTTCTATTAAAGAAAAATATATATAAAGGAAATCTAGTGGGAGACATTTTCCAAGAATATATAAAACAAATAGAAGTAATTATAAGTTTTCAAGTTTTTCTTCACTAAAACCATATGGAATTTGAGTTTTATTATTTAAAAATTAGAAAATGATGATTATCCACATTTATAGTTTAAGTTTTTTTTTTTTTCCATCGTTTGAATTCGTTTTTTATTGCTACATTAAAATTTTTAAATTCTACAAATAAAATTAAAAAAAATTGATGAATACAAAATTTTTTTTAGTCTTTTTGGTTGCTCATAACTTTTATCAAAATTTCATCTACATATTTCAAGTTCCAAACCTCTTAAAAAAATTTTTTTAATTTCTAGAAGGCTAAGTGCTTGACATTTAAACTTTAAGAAGCTGGTAAAGCGAAAGAAATCAAAAGAAACTTTTATCAAAGTAAAGATGAATAATGGATTAAATTTTTTACATCTAAAATGTTTCTTTATTTTAAAAGAGCTATTTATTTAGTGGCATCCCCATCATTGAAAGACTTCTAAAATACTTGTAATATACATGTAAATGATGTATAACAATTAAGCTAAATATTTAAAGATTAAAGTTGAAATTAAAATAGACATATCAACTTATTTATGACCTTTTTTTTTTTTTTTTCTAAAAAAGTGAGTGCTCGTATCATTTTGCCAGTTTGCCCAAAAATGTCATGTGAAAACTGAAAAATTATCCCAAAAAATATATAATATAAAAGAAAGCAGAAAAATCCAATTCTAACATGGAAAAGCAAACAGTGACATAAAAGCTGTCGGTAAGACCGTTGACGGTCCAGACCAAATGCGCAATTCTTTACGAAATTGTTAAACAAGTAATTAAGTAATAGTAAAAGAGCTATAATCCCCTGCTCCAAACTTCACTTCCCAAACTTAATCCACCATTTTATTTTTGCTTCTAGTTCAATCGAACCGCCTTGATTTTCTCGTCAAAAGACGTTAACCCATGTCAGATTTTATGAGATCATATTTAAATCACCTAAATTTTTCCTCACCAGCGAAGGGGGGGACAGGAAGATGATATTTGTTGAGTTGCTGACTAGTTGGCCAGCAAATCCAGGATGCATGTGTATCCTATTGCACCAAAAGTTTTATGCCTGGATATTCTGGATCTTTTGGGACCAATCGGAGCTTGTCCCAGCCTTCTATGCCTTCCAGGCTCCAGCCAGCCAAGACACTTTTTTTTTCCCTTTTTCGTATAATGGTAACGTTTTTTTTTTTTTTTTTGGGAATTAGGAAGAAGTGGTAGGAATTAAGACTATAAAACAGGTGTGATCCGCTAATAGAAATTTCAACTCTTAAGCTTTATTTGTAGGAAAGATAAAAAAGGATTAAAGAAGAAATTTTATTAATTTAATGATTAAATTATAAAATAAAAAATAAGTATAAAATTTAATCCTTAAATTAACAAATATTTTATTCTTAACTTTTTTTTATCAAATAAAATCTTAATTCTAATGCGATTAGAATTAAAATCCTAAATTCAAGTATAAAAATTTTTAAATGTTTTAAAAATCCATTACTTAATTAATTAATTAGGTAAACCAACCATTTTATTAAGTCTCGAATTCTAAAAAAATCCATTACTTTACTAATTAACTAGGTGAACATATCACGTGTCGAGACTTAAGTTTCGAATTCGCATGGTTTTGGGATCCGAATATTCACCTTTCCAACATCCCAAATCAACCTACTTGTTATGGTTCACACTTTTATAAGGTATTGTCCGTTCTGACCCTCATGACCTCACGATTTTGTCTTACAAAATACGTCTCACAAGGAAGAGGTGACGTTAACTCTTTATATCTCAGTGACCCTCCTTCTATTATGTTCGATGTGGGATTCAAGACTCTTCTCCCGCACCCAACCTCGTAACGCCTTAGTCACGGAGGCTGGTCATCCTGTCTACCTCTCTCGAGGTGCTTGACGTGGATTGCACGGAATAAGATTGGCTCTGATATCACTTGTCACGGGTCGAGACTTAAGCTCCGAACCCGCGCGGCTTAGGGACCCGGGCATTCACCATTCCGACATTCCGAATCAGTCTACCTGCCATGATTCACACCCTTGTAAGGTATTATTCACTCTGACCTCTCTGACCTCACGGTTTTGTTCTACAAAAATCGTCTCACAAGGAAGAGATGGTGTGAATCTTTTTATACCCTAATGACCCTCTTATTATGTTCGATGTGGGATTCGAGACTCTTCCTTAAGTTCGTAAGATACGAATCTTCTTACTGAACATAAGTACTCAAATTAAATTTTTTTTTTTTTTAGGATGCCCATTGTAAAAAATATATATATTTTGGATACACGGTGATGGCTAGTTATAATGCAACAATTTGAACCCAAAAAAAATCCTTATTTATTTCCTCCTAAATTGACCTTGTAAACTTTATTTTATTTTGCATTGATTTAGAGAGAAAGCTAGCTAAGGTCTCTTTTTCAAGTGTTAATGTAATAATTTGTAATATTACATAATTATGTAATTAATATAATATTTGTTATTAGAGAAATGGAAAAATGAATGAAAAGAGTGTAGCATTATTGTGTAGGGAAGTGAGGACATTGAAAAATCAATGGCAATTTGTTATTAGAGTAAAAATACAGTTGTTAATAATTTAATTTGTGGTTGTTGAACCGGTTTGAAATTGGTTACTCTTCCAGATCCTATGAGCCAGGTTTCACCTAACCCACCAACGGTTTTAAAATGTGTATTATGGACCCTAGACATGAGATTGAATTTTTATGTATCCAAAAAATTAAACATTTAAAAACACATTGAAATCTAAAAAAGAAAAAGGAATTTTGGAGTTAATCCAAGCGAAAGGTTATATACAAGTTAAAAATAAAATAAATTTCCTTATTAGTCTGTGTGATCTTTTCGTGAAGTTTTATTTAATTTTCATCTGTGATTTAAAATTTTTATTTATTTATTTATTTTTTTTATGGATTGTTTCAAATTCATTCATCCATCAACATACTCTTAAAATCAACTAGATGAAATATGAATATGCGTACATCCATCAATGTACCACATGACAAATTTTATTCATATTATTTACGGATAATTGGGTTTAAAATAATTCATAAATTCACAAATAAAATTTTTAAAATTACGAATAAAAATGAACAAAATGAAAAAGTAGAAGACTAATAATACAATTTAATTACTAGTTAAAAATAAGTTTGATTAAGTTTTGATTTGTTGAAATTTACTGTAAACTTGAGTTGAGCCAATAATTATATTCAAGTAAATTAATATTAATTAATTATACCATATTGACTGAGCTTTTGCTTGGTTAATTAAGAATCATGATCAAGTTATATAACGTAGAATCGAAAAATCAGGCACGAATTCAAAGGATGCACTGAACGGTTCAAAGATCTAGTGCTGAATGGCTCGTGAAATGGAGGTTATACCAAATCCACTGGCACCAGAATCTTGAATTCCACTCCTCTTCGGATTGGTATTGTTAGAGGGTTCTCTAACAAGCCTGCTTTCGAGCCGGATCGATCCCTCTATGTCTCAAGCGAAGAGGAATTGATTGCGTCGAGAGAGAGAATCCGAATCCTCTAACAGGTATATATATATTTGCTGCCAGAGAAGGGTTTTAGGCTTTCAGCGGATA